CCAGGATCTGGTCTTTGCTCCCAGGGCTGTCTCTGTATCTCTTATCCAGCAGTCATTCCAGAGGGGTCGGTAGGCACATAGTGAATGTGCAGGCAGCACAACTATCCTGCGGGCCATGGGCTGTAAGGATCCCCCCTGCACAGGCCGGGGAACATGGCAAAAGCATTAGTGGGAACATCTAGTTTATTCCACACACCAGCCCGCTCCCCTGCGTTATACCATCTCTGTGATTTTGAAAGGTGGTAGTTAGCAGGAGATTTTTGAGGAGGTCTGATCTCAGTAGTGTGCGCCAAACATGTTTTGAGAATATCTGCAGATTCTTTTCCCTGAAATGCAAGGAATGTTTCTATCTCCCAGTTTTACTGATGCAGGAGATCAGAGCTGAGTTGCCCAGACCAGGCAGAAAACAAAATAGGACAGTAGGCCTTTGAAGTCAAAGAAATAAATATCTCACGAGTTTAAGACCTCAGTAATTCTGCATCCATTAAACAGCTAAACAGAGCTATTTGGGTCAACAATTTCAGACTCTGGCCCATCAAACCTACCTAAGTATTAAGTGTCTTTACCCTTTGTGGAATGAAGGATGTCTCCGCTGTCATGCTGACGTGAAGAAAAGCGAGGTGTTTAGTGCAGCAGAAAGGAGAAAAGGAGGCTACGTTTCTCCCGCGCAGTCTGATGCCAACTTGACTGGAAGCAAAAACCACCTCCTGGTTTAACAGAGCAGCTATAGCGAGCAACATGCAAGTATGATCAGGAAGCAAAACCAACCAGAAAAGTGGATACTTTTCTTTCTAAACAGCAGGTTTATGTTAAAATATCAAGGAGGGCAAGCGGAGTAGCAGAGTTCTGACCTATATATATTCTGAGTAAATAAACTGAACACATGAAACTGTCCCAACACAACAGGCATCTTCATACCAAGGAGCAAGGAGTAGGGCTGACTGACTGAGTAAAAGCAAGGCCGCTTTGCTGTCGCCCGGTTCTTCACAGGCCCAGCTAGGGAGGCTCTATGAGGTAATGGAGAACGTGCCTTGTCAGACTCACAGAGATGTTTCTTCCAAGAGGAAGAGGCTGAGAGGACAATTTTACAGATGTTTGTCACCTTGTCTCAAGCACTGCTGGGGAGGGGATGCTCAGGCTGAGTGTTCTGTAAGAACCTACACAGGACACAACAGAATGCAGTAATAGAGCAAAGCTGTTCTTGTGACATTCCTTGTTCATGTAAATATCAGTAGCTTTGAAGCCACCTACACATTTTAATGCATCAATATGTATTATATACATTGTTTCACTCCTTTCCTCTTATTGCTTGGTTGTCCCCCCTTTAGAGCTGTGCCCCAGCTTTGTAAAATAAAGTATCCATTACACACTGAAGAAACGGGCCTGACTGATGAATCACAAAACCCCTCGTAATTTAGTACAGCGTCTCTCAATACAGCTTTTCAGTCTAATTTAATGCATTATTGAAGATAACGCGTTCATTAAAACAGCTGCCAGCAAACGGTTCATTTGGATTGTTTCACGGAAGCACTAGTCAAAGAGAAATAAACTGCCACATGCTAATGATATGCAAAAAAGACAAAAACCAATTAAGTTTTGATACATTGGTATTGAGATGTTAATATGATTTTTTTTGTATAATGAGTACTGCCATGCTGGCTTTTATATGGTAAATATCAAGCATCACAAAACGGGTGTTTCTTTTCAGCAATCTTACAACATATAATAAAAAATAACAAAAAAACCACATGGCAAAATTACTAGAGCTGTTCAGCAAGGGTGAATTAATGAGCACAGAATTATTATTTATTGTTTCTTATTGCTACTTCTCTGTCAGTGAGCATTTAAGTAGCACATATTTGGATCCAGAATTTGCTCCTGGTCTCTAGTGGAGTGAACTAAAATTTCTCAACCTCTCAAACATTAGGAAGTTTTAATGTTGTGGCTCAAATGAACATCTAGCGCCTTCCATTGCCACAGCAATAGCAGTTGAGCTCTGAACAGGACCAACATTGAAGTTTTGTTACTACTTTTCTTCACTTGTTGTGCAAGTCTCATAATTTCCTGGGTGAAGCACAGGGTAATAACAAGTGTACTTTAACTAGAATGTCATCAGCAAGAGACACACACCAGAAAAAATATCTATAATAACAGATTTATTAATGCTACTGCCTTTAATTCATAAGAAATTTTCATAAAATTAACAAAACAAACTATCTACTGTTTCATGGCTCCTTTCTTATCAGTCTGAACATCCTTTAAGCCAGACAAGACAGATTACATCATTATTCAGCTGCAGGCCCAGTGGTTTAAATTACGCAGAGATCCATACCTCCTACTGAATGTGTCTCCACTGTCTCCACTACTGAATGTGCAGACAAGGAGAGAAAGTTTGGCTGGGACAGCCATTCAATAGTCTAATATTAATCTCTGGCTTTGGCACTTTTCACCCTTCTAAGCTTTTTTCAGCAGCCTCTGAGCACTCTAAGCTCAGTCATGGTCATATCCATGAAATCCTCCTAAGATGAGGTGTAAGGAAGAAAAATCCATTCTGAATAAACATGATCTGAAACATCTCATGGCAGAGACTAGTATTCAACACTTCGTTTGTCTAGTAAACTACTGAACAATTTATTATTTTAGGCACATAAGGCAGGTAACGAATGAGCATTGTGGGTATTTGTTATAACAAAGCTTGAATTCTTCTTTTAGTTTCTGTACTTTAATACACATACACTGCCCAAAAGGTAAAAAAAAAAAAATACTCTTACTGTAGTCTCAAAGGAAGGAGGTTATCTGGCCTAAAGTAGATGTCTAGAAATCTGAACTATTCACTCCAGGTTCCTTTGCAAGCCATGGAAAGTCAGACGTACATTCAGAGCATGTTTAACATCATGGTAAAATAGATGTTTGCGGTCTGACCAATTGAATCATTTCCTACAGATGTCTGCTTCTCTATGTGACTATAAAGACAGAATAGTACAAGTGACTTAGAAGTAGGTGTCTATACTGTAGACGTTTAAATTTAAGCAAGATGAATCCACCCAAGGTATTTACGTAGTCAGCTTAATAAAGTAGGAAAGATAAATACAAGAACATAATGTCATGCAAAGTATATATTTCATGGTTTCATGGCAACTATTAAGTGTGCACTTCTTAAAAAAAAAGAACTGGTAATAGGATAGTTACCAGAATTACAAACATGGAGTGGAATACTTCTAATTAAAACTCTCTAACATTTTTTCTCTAGAGTCCTTCTGCAGTAATAGAGATTCATTTTCCAAAGATGATTTGTTCCGTCTTAAGGTTGTCATTGAAGTTACTTGGGAAGAATCTTCCTCTGCATATTGATGTCTCTCCTCAGAGGTACAGAGTGAACCCACCTCACTCTAGGAACGCAGTAGTTTAAACTGAATAGCTGGCTTTTAAATGACTAATTTTTGCTGACATTAATCCCATTCAGGCTATATAAACATAACAGATCCTTATATCTGAGGAGATGTGTGTTCACTAAAGAGAATGCAGCCCCTTCAAAACATATGTGTAGGTATGTCCTGCTGTTCAGAAACTTTCAATAAATTATCATTAGTTTACATACAGTTTAGCAATTTCACAGATCTGATGAATATATTGTACAATATGTTGGTTTTCTCTTCCTGGAATGTGTGTGTGAAAAGGCATCTAAATTCTCATTAAATTAATTCCTTTGGGAACCATGCAGTAGGACTGCATTTGAGTATTTGTCCCTAGCAATAAAAAATTGATCATTTTCCATAGTGGTTTGAATCAACAGGCCAGTACATTTAACTGAACACCAGCGGAACTTCATTATCATACTTTCTGTATGTCAAAATTAGTAGATCCATTTTTCTGAAAGAGAGAAAATCAGAATCAGAATTGATCTGAAATGCCAAGAAAATCATATTCTATAATGTCACACAAGGGAACTTTAGATTTTTCTTTTTTTTAAATTTTAGAAAATACACTGGAATCTGAGTGTCCCATCTTGTCATTTGCTGAAATAGTATATGTCAATTTATAATGCTTAATGTACAGACCTTTGGTATGTCTTTCTAAGGTTTTATAACTGTCATGATACCTTAGTACTTTTATAATCTGATTAACTGTAAAGTTTACTCTTCCAATCACAATTTACAAAGGCATAATAACATAAAGTATTTTAACAAAACAAATTAATTAATATGATTTTAGTTAACACAGTCTTATCTGGGAAGTACATAGGTGAACACCAGCTTAACATCATCTAGATTTCCATTTGTCTTTGTTTGGTACAGAGGTACTGAATTATAGTATTATGAATAAGTAACTGCTGTGAACAGAGAAGACACAAAATCTAGAAACCTTTAGGAAATTTAATAAAATATAAACTTCATTCTTCACTTCCTTGAACATTTGTTTACTCACTATGCTCCTCACATATGTAAGAATGGTACTCCCACTGTCGTATTTTTATTATGATGTAATAGATTTTGTATCTTCTCTTTATTAGTCACAATGAATACATTAGGTGAAAATACCGCTGCACCCTGGCATATTCATTTCAATAGAAGAACCTGAATCTCAGATGGCTTTGCTATTTATTCTTGACACTTTCAGGCCAAGATGCCACTGCCTCACTGTAGGTGTCTCCATTAACTGCAAAGGTAGAACTCTGCATATTACAGAGGTAACTTGGGTCTCCCTCACAGGTACAGAATAATTATTGTCTAGAACCTGGGGTTGGATATCACCCTAAGTAACCTAGTCTTACTGAATTAAATACTTTGAAAAGGTTTAAGTACACAGAAATGAGCAAAAGCAATAGCTGTGGTGTAATATTTCGTCCCTGCCCATGGCAGGGGGGTTGGAACTAGGTGATCTTTAAGGTCCCTTCCAACCCAAACCATTCCATGATTCTATGAATATATTGAAATTATTTGAATGAAGTTCTCTACATTGTTCTCTACAATATGTTTGGTGTAATACATCTTGCATCTTACCTTTAACTTTGGAATAGCAAGGCTCACAATGCACAGTTTGTCTGTAAATCCAAATGCTGTCTCCTGCTTTCAGATCTTCCAGTGGTCTTTTACATACTTCACACTTCAGCATACAAGTAAAAGCAACAAGAAAAATTCAAACTAAACCCTTCTCTAATATTCATTCCCAGCATGCTGACTTTTAAGAAGTAAGCAACCCCAGACCAGAATAGGGGTTATGAGTACTGCAGTATCAACCAATCTGAACTGTGAAAGAGTAGTTTTAATGAACAGTAAATTAGACATCTGAATATCTCACCTTTAGACATCTAAAAATCAGATACCTAAGTCTCAACTCGTTCCCTAGGTTCTCATACTCACCAACCCCTCCCTTTCCCCAGACATTTCCAAAGGGTACATTCAATATCTTAGCTCAGAAACTTATTCTAAGAGAAGATGAACCACCCTTTTGAGATCCCTTCTGTTTCTTCAGTGAGAAAAGGAAGCATGATCAGACATAACCATCCAGCTCAGAGTTAATCATAAAGAGTGTAAGCCTGCTTATTTTAAAATATTTCATGATATTTCATCTTAACCATTAACAATGTCTCCCATTATTGAAGAATGTGGACACTGCTTTCACAAATTTCTCAAAAAACTAATTTTTGAGGTAGACAAGCATCATCCATGTTTTGTCTATGAAAATACACAGATACACACAGAGGTTGACTTCCCAAGTTCACAAAGAAAGTCTACAGTGGATCAAGAAGCAAAGTAATTCAATCTACAAATCAGAATCTTGACACACAGACTTTTTTTTTTTAAATTTAATAAAAGAATAGCAAATTCTTGTTTCTTTGGATATTTTATCCTCTGATAAGTGAAAATCAGCATTACTTTTACAGTGCAATTAATTCACTAACTGAATTGCCAGCCACCCCAGAAAGGCTGTAAGCTTTTCCATAGTTTTCATGATGGCTGTCTATTCAGATAAATTTGTTCTGAAAATATTTATTAAAATTACAAATTGACAGTCTTGCCCAGAACATCTCTTTGCAGATAAATGAATAAATAATTTGTGTGAGGTCAACACCATGGACTTAAAGGCAGTGGGAATAATCAGATCCAGGCAATGTGCAATTGCCTTATATTACACATGCTCACCAGTGTGAAATTCCACCTGAGCACTCTGTATTCATTAGTACAACATGTCAGAGTACTAGAAAATTTCTTTTTTCTTTTCAGTCTTACAGAACTATGTTTTTTTCTATCTCCTTTCTGCATAAGTTGGTAGTATTAAGGGACTATTGAAACAGTCTGCTCTCTTCACTCCTTTTATGTTTCTTTGTATAAATCACCAAAAAGATGAGCGTATTTTCAAAGCTCTGATCACCAAGATTATACAGAGAAAAAAGCCTACCATTTGGATTATTTACTTACTGAACTTTTGGTATCTACCTTTAACAAGGAAACAAAGACCTTATACTGCTGTCAGCTACATGCAAATCTCTAATGGATACAGGGCATTTGTAAGGATCTAAATGAATATTAATGATGAGAAATTGCACTACTTAGCTAAATACATAACTACAAGCATGAACCACAGATCTGCATTAGTTGTTTAATTTGCTGCCAATGCTGTCATAAATGTGTAGTTACACGAGACTTAAGATGAATTTTTCTGGCCAGACAGGTCCCTGCTTTGGAATAGGTAGCAAAAAGAATGTAATCTAAAAAACAATCTTAATTGTTTAACAGAAAATTTACCAATACCAACATGCTAACACTCCTAACTGCATAAAAAGCCTCTTTTGGTGTGTTATCTATCTAAAAAGAATTGAAGCAAAACAGAGCTTGTATTTACTTGGAATAATAGTATTGAGGACATATTGCATAGTGAGTTCCATGGAAGAAATTACATTTCTAGTGCTCACAGAGCTCAGAATGACTATATAACACAAAAAGTCCTTGTAACCATACCTGTTAAGTGCAACCTTACTGCTGTATACTGCTCTGGGTTACTTTTCATGCAGTAGGTGTTGCGTGGATTGTAAAAGAACTGCTGTCAAAAGCGGAAGTAAAAGCTATGCAAGTTTGGGCAGAAAAATGAGCTATGCTAATGCAGTGATTTTGCCGAGTATTGTTTGTTTGAACAACAAAATCTGTGTGGAGATGCAAGCAAAAATTAAGACGAATGAAGCAGAAAGAAAAAAGACTGGAGGGCTGAGCAGTGGTAGGCATACCCTGAGAAAAGTTTAAGAGCAAATTTTAGGCTGAGGCTTAGGCTTTGGAATGACAAGTACAAGAAATTTATTCTGTGCTTTTATTCATATTGGAAACAGGAAAAAAAAATTACATAATTTTTAATAAATAAGACTGAGGCAAATACATACCCAGTTTCAACAGTCTTTTATCCTACAGCAGAAACTATCCATAAGACCCAAATTTAATGAAATCTTTGACACCAGTGGGTGAAATGATTTCGACTCTACAGCATAAATACCTCTTACTAATGCTTTTGAGTTTGGCTTCTGCACAAGCCATGGTTTTAGAGGTCCCTTAATCAAGAACATCTACAAAACTTCATAAATAAAGAAGTAAAGTAAAATTTTACAATATGAAGAACAAGTAGAATATAATTCACTATATGAAACTGGAACTGTGTACAACTGAAAGCTTATAAAAGTGTAGGGCATTCAGGATACATCCCACTGCATCTTTTATCCTCCTCATGGTTACAAGAGAGAAGGAGAGATGGGGGAGGGAGAGTAGAGGAAGAGGGGAAGAGAGGGATGTAAAGAAAGAGGAAGGAATTTTGTAGGGGCGAGAGAGACTAGTATTTCCTACACTTTCTAATCTTCTCCTCCAGTGTGCAAGCCTTCCTCTTACCCCAGGTGGAGGAGGCCTAAATATTCTCTTATTATATGCGTAAGATAATGCAGCTATTACATTCAAATTGTATTTCTTAGTAGCAGGTGAAATCTTCTTACCTTGAAGCAAGTCGAATGACAGCAAATTTGCAAGGCATCTAAGATCATTTTGGCATCTATGCCCAAGGGCTTCCTGCAGTATGTACATATATCTTTTCCAATTATACTCCTGTGTATATAATACAACATCAGCTGTCAGAAAAAGAGCTACCATTGAAATCTCAGGAGAAAATTCATAAGCTTAGTGCACTACATGGGAAAGACATTTGTATACTGTACAATGGCCATAAATGGGAAAATGTCATGTGTATATTCCCTCCATCCTAGTTGACCGGTATAATATATGTGCTGCTGTGATGGGAAATTGCTAAGCATAATCGTCAAGTAGCAAAAATACCTTGATAGAAAGAACGGTCTTCTTTGGTTAACTACATGATTTCAAATAGTAAAGAGACTGTATTAAGCTGCAGAATGTCTGGGAGCATGTATACTAAATGGGGAGGAAGTGGGTCATGATTTTAATGTTTTAATCACAAAAGTAAATTGGTAGTTGAATTTAAAATGCCAACATTTGATCAGTCTGATACAGAATTCTCCTCTATGTTGTGGAAGTGACTGAAAACATTTTCAGTTTTCTGAACTGCAGGCAGAAATCCTACCTTCATGGCAGTTCTAGTGAACACATGCACGGAACAGCCTACCAGGTATTCATAACAATAATATTTTTTAAAATTTTCTCAGCTCTTTTTGCATTCTCATGTGACATCGGTCTGTACTTTCTCTAGACACAACTGTTAGTGTGGGGTTTGCACTACAAAATCAACTGGTCTTAGTCCTTTCCACTCAATGATAAACCATTTCACTAATATTTGATCATTCCCAGAGGTCCTTATACTGACGCTGGAAAGGATATAAGTTTTTCTGATCCGTTATTTCCAAGTAATAGGGCTGTCTATTATCTGAGCTGAAAATAGTGGGCACATTTTTTTTTTTTTTTTCCCCATGAGATAAAATATTACTGATTGAGCAAATATCCTTCTTATATTTGGGTGTATGTTAACTGGTGTGAAAACATACAGTTTTTAACAGTGTGATCATGTGAACTTATTCTTCCACATCTGTACATGACCTGGTCATTACAGACATTGTTCTCACAAAGGAAGGAAATTCTACAGGGTAAGCAGTTGCCGGGGGTAGAAACCTGCAGAATCACAGTCAGCTCTGTCACTTAAGGCATCGGCTATTGTTTGGATAGATATTTTAAAATGTCAGCTGTGACAGTAATAGTAGGCTGCTGAACAGTGGTAATCATTTGATGACAAGATCCCACTGACAGGGAGCTCTGTATGAAAAGCTGTCTGACGAGCCTAGTGATGACTTCCACTGCTCTGTTGTCTGAACAGTTGAACGCTTATGCAAAACGCCTGTGTCCTTTGATACTCTACAGTGTTACTAATACTTACCGATCAGAAGTAGAGTAAACAGTTTTGATGGTATTTCCAGTTATATTTTCTTCATAGGCACGATATGATGATTTGCTGTGAAGCAGTGAGAGCATAACAATCACCAAGCAGTACTTTTTATTCTTAAAGGTTTCACTACGCTGATGTTAATATGCAAATTAAACAAAGATAACACATTTGTTAAAAAAAAATCTACGTATTTGATGAGGAGTTATTTTTCTGTATATTTACAACCATCGAGAAAAATATATCAAATAAAATTAGGAATATCATGTCTTTAGACTGTATTCTGCTGTTGGAAGATTCTTCAACATTTCAAAGGTAAACCCACAAGACCATTGAGCAAAATCTACATGATGGTATGGGGTTTGCCAGTGCTGATATCCCAGGCTAAATGATACATATCAGGAAATGGTGACACACAGCATTTAATACTTTTTTCCCCCTCCTTTCACTAGTCCTCAAAGAGCGGTCAAACAGCCAAACAGAATTACAGCATGTCCCTAGAAGAAGTAGAGTGAGGGTCTTTACAATACAGGCTGTTCAACGTGTGATTTGTGTTCACCACAGTAACTGTATTGTTCCTTGTAGCCGAGTAGGAAGGAATATACTGAATTTAACTATAAGGGAAGTTAAATTTTCCCTTTTTAGCTGTTTAGTTCTTAACTGTCAGTTTTGTTTGCACAGAAGGGATGAGCACGTATGTGACAGCTGAAGTCATCTTGCCATACATGTTTTGAACAGTTCTGAACTGATTTAATTATCCTATTCCTCCAGAAAGTCATAAGTTATATGGTAATTATTACAAGCTGCGTATCACTCCTGAATAATGTTTAGCAATGTTAGGAACAATTTTTTATAATCGTGTGTATTTGCAGAACATGTCTTTTTCAGAGAAAGTATCGCAGGCTGATAACAGTGTAAGGTGTTAACACAGCCCAGATACACTTTGTCACATACCTGTCTTTTGTAATGTGTATACATCTTACCTCATTTCTGTGCAACACCAGAAATGTATTAAAATTGCACAGTTACTGAGAAGCTTAAATGACAAATGATTTGTTTATGTTTTATAGAACATAATCATATGCTTGTTATTTAATAATAATGTAGCAAACCTAAGTTGGTTCACCACAGAGAAAGTATCTCCTCAAATGAACACCCAAGAGTTTTTCTGGCTATTTTTGCCCCGACCAGGCTAGGCACGTGCACAACACATGTCACAGGATTGACTATATTGATGGTGCATCTGCCTGAAGTTTTTTGCTATGGTGAAAAGCGGCACAAGAATATCACCTCTGTATTCTACACTCTATGGTGTGCTTTGTTTATACAGGAAACCATTAAACAAGAAATACTTCATAGAACCTAGTGCATAAACCCTGAAAGAACAACTTGCAAAGACCATTTGGTTGGAACCAGATGATCTTTATGGTCCCTTCCAACACAAACCATTCTATGACGCTATAATTCTATGATTTTGTAAGCTTTCATGAATTAAATTGGGGTTAGAGCTTCAGGTAGGGGATATATATTTGTCAAGTGTAAGGCAACACTCTATATTGCAGCACATTTTTTGCCCTGACATTCTTGTATTACTGTTCTCTATTTTAATTTTCAAAGGTAATCAGAACTTTACAGCTCAGAAGCTGTATGTTTGAAAAATGCTGCAAAATGCTAATTAATGTTTGTGCTGAATATTCATTTTGAGTCTTAAAACTGTATGCTGTTCGGATTTTCTTTATTCTCAGCCATTTTATGGCCTTGCCCTACAAGGCCATGAAGCAGTTTCAGAATACAAAGATTTCAACTGCACTCCAACCTCCTACAGCAAATGTAAGCAAATGAGAGATCAAAGACCCTGTGCCCAGTCATACCCACACAAAGGCTCAGGTGTGCATAAGCTTAAGGATTGGGACATTGTCCGTAGCTCCCATAAAGCACTAGACTGTGACTGCTATTTTCCCTATTAGTAAGGCTCAATACAAGATTTGTCCTCTCCCTTCCAAGTCATCAGAGTTGGCTTGGGCTGTTCACAGCCACTATACAGCAATATAACACCTTACATATAGGACTATGTCTGTAAACAATCCTGTCTACATTAATTAAGTAATCCACATAGATGGGTGTGTTGGTACTGAAGAGAGTTTTTCCTAATCCAAAAGTTTTTCATTCAAGAAAAATGTATTTTAATTTTTGCTTTCATTTTTCTTGACAGTGAAAAATTTCTTTTGACTGTGAAGAGTTATCAGCAGATCTGATGTTTAGTTAGTTCTATTAAATATCCCTACATCGTATTTTTCACTCAGATATGCAGTATGAGTGCTTGTAGATACAGAATACAGCTAGAGCAAGAGTATTGCAAGAGAAGTGGTTTTTAAAATAGTTTGTACTGAGTCAGAAAGTCAGAAACCCATGTTACAGTTTCAGTGATTGGGATAAGATTTGATACATGGGTTCGGATACATCTCATATTGTTTTAGGAACTTAACAAGAGACTTGAGTGAAGAGGGTAATGTTTTCCTTACAGGCTCAGAAAGAAAGAAAGTCCCTGAGAGCATGGTGTACCTAACATGCAGGAAATGCCTTTCCTCTACTGATTATATAAGAATTCTGGCTTCACTGCTGTCATAAATTTCATGCCTCAGCTACATCTCTAGAGCTACACAGGGTGTGCCTTGTGCTCTCCACTCTGTGCACTAGTGCTCTGTGGGCTTCTGTAGGGGGGATCCTGGAAGCAGAAGTTGGAAGTGTCTGGCATGATTCCAGAGACCAGTGTGAGGTTTCTGAAAATCCCTGAAATTTCTTGCACAAAGACAGTTTCTCTTAATTTTTTTCAAGAAATGGCACTGTAGACGCTACAGTTCTCAAATACATCGTCCACAGTACCTGGTTTTTCTTTTACTGTCACTGGAATATTTTTTTTCTGGGAGATTAATTGCAGCCCTTGGAGGATTTTCATATGCTTGCTCAGTTATCCTAAAAAAAGAAAACACACAACAAGAAAACAAACATTTTTTAGAAATTGTTTTCAGCTACCCAGCTTTCAGTTACCCTTATAGCCATGAATGTAGAACCTTGGGTGAGGAACAGTAGGTAAAAGAAATTTGTCTTTTTCTTACTGTTGTTAAATTGTTGCCTGTGAAAAATAACAGAATCACTGACCTATGATTCACTCACCTAATAATCAGAAACTTCATGTATCTTTTAACTGAACTCTAGTTTCCTCAAATTGCCCACTGAGGTTTTCAACTGTGCAGTAACGTCTCAGTGGCTGATAGCATTCTGCTTTGCTTGGCCGTATTCTATAATGTTATGTTCTTGGTTTTACTATAGTCTAGTTGTAAATCTCTTTTTATACTTTAGTTATTTTTTTATTAAAAATGACCAACTAAACAGACATGTGATTCAAGCAAAACTTGTCTCCTGCTGTTTTTCCTGCCACAAACATGACATGCAACCAAACATCAAAAAAACCTTGTCAAGAGAAATTATAGGATTTAAGGAATAAATGCTAATAATGGTTTGGATGATTTTACAAAGCAGCTCAGACAAAGGCTGCTTTTGTTTGGTTCCGCCAAAGGTTATTTTCTGAAACAACCTGATGATTATAAGCCTTAACTCTGGGTGTTTGGGCTGCAGCTTGATTTATTTCAGTGAGCTCGCCAAGGTTTGAAGCTTTGCTGAACGAACCTTACGCAGAGTTAGTCGCTGTTTTACATGCATAGCATGCTGCATGAAGCAGCACCCTCTATTATGCCTGACTCCTGATCTGGAAGGCCCCCTTTCAGAACTACAAGAGAAACTCATTCACTGGAGATACTCAGTATGTGCTTCTCTGGTTAGATTGTCAAGTGGGATAAAAATATTTTATTTAAAAAAATAACAAATCTTCTTATGTATAGAGACAGCTAAATTATTCCTCTTCATTTAGATATACAACTAAATACAAAACTCAGAAAGATACCATCAGAATGGTACCTGAAAACATAATGCTAGCTTCACTTTAATTGATCAAAATGGGTCTTAGTTTTTTGCAAATAATGAAACCTAGTAGTAGTGAATCTTTTAAACTATGAATGTATTTACTTATATTTATTTGAGAAGCTAAGAGCTGAGTTCACAAAACACCTAGATAAGCACAAAAATACTTATGAGGATCTTATCACCAGGCGCTTTCATTCACTACAAGAGATTATAGCTTTGAGTCATTGCTTATTATCAAAACATGGACAGCTAAATTGCTATATTTGATTAACCAGGTGCATTTTGGAAATAATACAGAGCTCTTTACTCAAGTTATGCAAATTCTGCTTGCTTGTATTAGGAGTTCACATTTTCTGGTACCACACTAAATACCAACAACTCTTGAAATCAGCTTCATAAATTTTAAAGAGGACTGTGAATTGAGTCTCACCGCTTTTTACTTAGGTCATCAGCAGACTTTACTGAAGTATGATCACCAAGGTCCTCATCTCTGTGAAAGCAAGCAAGACCTCAGAATTAATCAAATTATTTGCTGTAACCTAAACATATTAAATGGTTTGAATTATATATGTTGAAGAAAAAAAAACAATCTATGCATTTCACAAGGAAGATTCCTGACTACACTAAGTATGTATCACAATTGTTTCATATTGTGTTTAGTTAGTTATGACATAAGAGTTATCAGTTCAAACTTAAATATTTTTCAGTTTCTCTCCAGTGTGACTCTACAAAAGAATGACAAGCTACTTAAAATACTAAATTTGTTATAGCATTGCAGGATAATTCAGGTTGGAATTCAGGGACCTTGGGAGGTCTCGTCCAACCTTCTGAGCAGAGGCAGCTCTGAGGTCAGGCCAGGTTACTCAGGACTTTTTCTAGTTGGGTCTTGATAAACTCCAAGGGCAGAGATGACACAACGTCTCCGGGCAGCCTGCTCCACTGCTGGACAGTCCTCCTTACCTTGAGTCTGAATCCCTCGTTTCAGTTTATGACCCATGTGTCGCATTGTGTTGCCACGCTACAGGTGAAGTGCCTACCTACATCTTCTAAACTGACTATGGTTTGGCAATTTTAACTTGATAACATAATTTCATTCAGTACAGGCATGTATGAGCCACAGCACCATGAGCTGTGGAAAAGTCTGCCAAAGCCTGTTATTTGCTTTGTTGTTATATCCAGCCCAGCTTCCTCTTAGCAACTGCTGTTATCTAGGGTTGTATACAATCTCTAGGACTGCATGACCACATTTTACTAGAAAGTCATAAATCACTGGCTGTGATGAAGCTGATTGCATATAATAAATGCCATATATGAACATATGTAAACTATAGAACATATTAATAGAATTTTACAATAATGATTTATTTTACATTAAGGGTTTTATAACATTACAAAAATGATGATGTTATCCATTCAAGAATTGTCTAAGATTAAAACCAAGCCACACTGGTTCTTGTTTGAAAATGAATAATGATACTGGGAAAAGAGAGGACTTTTTCAAATACATTTATGATACTCCTCTCTGGTATTTAGAGGGCAATTTTTAGTTTGATAGTTTAGTTTTCACATTAATTTAAAGAACTTCAATGGTCACGCGCTACTTAGAGTTCCAATTAGATAAAGTCAAGTACTACATATGTTTCTTCCACAATGAATTATTTAAATTTACTAGCCTGTATTTAATGAGGAATTTTTAAAAATTAAAATTCTATGGTTTATGTAAAATAAAAATACTAATTTTGAATCCTCTAATGATTTTTACAGAACAGAACCAATTAATACTAATATCCAACCAACCACAAACATTTTATAATAATATAAGGGAGATATTAAAACAGCCTTGCCTCTTATTTTTCTGATCAACAGTATTGATTTCAGTAAAATCCTCAAGGTCTTTTCCTCTAAAACAGAAAACAAATACAACTGTTAAAATGTTCCCCCTGTCTGGGAAGAGTTAAAGTGTAGTTAAAGAAATAAACTATTTTGTGCATACATCTAAAAGGTAAAAATAAATTGTTAGTTAAGTTTATGTCCATAATTTGCAAACACTTATGTTCTTGGCCATAATAATAAAACATGTTTACAATTTTCCACTAGCAAGGTAAAGTTCAGTACAATATAATAAAAAATATTAGCTAGTACAGCCAAGAAAATAAAAATACTTTGTTTAATCAATGCTGTGGTTTGAGATTGTTCTTTGCCAGTGAAGATAGTAAGGAGACATGAACTTTCAAAGAACTTAGTATTACTTTATAGGCTCCAAGCAGCTTAATCCTTGTTGTTACATCATTAATTTGCAAAAACTATATTTTTATTTAAACTAAAAAACTTCTATTTCTGAAGATGACGTCTAAAAATATGTACAAATGTTCACAGGTTTTTGCTTCAGGAATGACATTACCAGCATGTATCATCACAGTTAAGAAATAAAGCATAGATTATGCCTGTACTTAAACTGAAAATGTAAGCATCCAAAGACTCACAAAGTTTACATGTAAGGAAATTAAACTGGTGGTTAGTTTTCCTTCTGTTGTTTGGGTGGGGTTTTTTTTGTTTGTTTTTTAATGGTTTTTAAATGGTTCAGTGATTAGGGAACGAATGACCTATGAAAAACACTCTAAGTAATGGAAAAATCACTGTTTCTTTTTACGTAGAAGTAGGGAGCAAAAGCAAAAGGTTAAGTTCTGAGGTTATCTGTGAAACTGGTAACATGGTCGCTTCAATTCTTAAAAGGCTTATTATTCTTAAAACTCTGGATGCCTTCTAAAATTCAGTAGTGTCTCAAAGTCTTGGACTCTATCCTATTAAATTCTCTGTGATTTAGAATTTTCAAAGAAAGCATACTCAACTTACAGGTTAGTGCTAAGTGTATATATATGTGAGATAGTCAACCGTAAAATAGATGTAGATGATCACGTTTTGGCAATATTTATGTGTTGCTACTCTGTGGAACATCATTCTTGAAGCTATGTGTAGACTTACAGTGTTAGCTGTGACAAATATTACTTTCAGTACCCTGTCAGTTCTTCCCTTTCCACATGCTGAAGGCCTGCTTACACGCCACAAGAAACTTGGACAGAAACACACTGAATTGATGTGCTGTTCAGAAACTTAGTCAAGCTGTTCTTTATGGATCACTGCCCTTGCTGACTGAAATGCTTTGTTACACCCTCTTGGAACAACACATCATCTATGAGTTTTACCATATTTCGTTCAATGCCGTTCTATATTAAAATATTTCTTTAAGAGTTTTATTGAGGAAGCATATAAAGTGTGTATGAAAGCTTGCCATAGATACTACTTGTTCAGCTGATCGTGCACATGCCAGTTGATTAATCTGTATTTTTATATTAATCATTCTGTATAAGGAATGCAAGTTATTAGTCTATAAACATTGTATTGATTTGCAGCATTACCTTTCCTGACTTTCTCATAGTTACGAACTACTCACTGCCTTAGAAAAGCAGGGCCTGAGAAGCTTTGTAGACTTACTCCTTGTTACTTGTGAAAGAACTTGGATTCACTTTGATGAGGTTGTTGAGATCTTCATTCCTTTAGAGGATAAAAAACAGATCAAATCACAATATGTATAGCCAGCTGTCAATTAGCCAAATTAAATACTCACTTTAAAAGAAATTATAATTGACACATTCTATATGAAAGACTATGCCTCCCAAATGCTCACAAGCACACACTCTTCCTGGAATAAGAGGAACAAATTATACTGTGGAAACAACAAGTTATACCTAATACTTACGTCAAAAAGGATAATTTGTGCTGAACATGCATCATGGACAACTTCAAAGAGTGCCTGACCTCTAACATGCTATGATATAACAAAAATCTTCACCAAGTAATGCAATCAGCCAGGTATTCCTTATATGTGCACAAACATTTTATTACCTAAAAAGTAATTATGGACTAAATCTTTCTGGCTAAATTGGTCTAAAAAGTCCATTAGTCTATTTGGTAGGCTATCTAGACCAGCTCCTTCCCAATTAAACTCTTCCTTCTCTCAAGGAATTTCATGCTTGAACTGAGGGATGCTAACAACTAGTTGCACACACTGATTCTTAAACTTCTGTAAAGAGAGAGGATGTGATTTACTATTATTATCTGATGTAAGGAAAAAAAATTTCCTCGATATAGACCTTGTTGGATAATTAATTTTCCTTTTTCAATATAGTAGCATTGAACATGTAATATATATTAATGTAACATAGCTATTAAAAATAGAAGTGTAAATACATGTATTTTATACTCTTTGAATGGAATATTTAGTAGTATCGTCAAAACAGGGGATGTTGCTTTGACTGCCTTTGTTTCTCTTCAAAGGATTGCACTGGTGTTAATGTTTCTATCAAACACTAAATTTCCGTGAAAATGCACCTTCCAACTGAACACTCCTCTATCAACAAGCTTTCAGAAACTTTACCTAAAAAGTTGCCATCTACACAAAATTGAAAAATTGACTCCTCAAAAGAAGACAATGGGAAAAGAGTGATGCCCACCATGGTATGACAGTGTCCCCGCTGTACAACCTGTTCTTTAATCTGGTAGTCAACAATGTTCCATGTCTCATTGATATCTTATTCTGAACAGTTCTGTCATGAAACAACATCACAGTGAAAGATAAAGACAGCCTTTTCAGATTTCTTCTTGCTTACTTTTGTCAGCTTTGGGGCTCCCTTTGATGAGATCATCAAGATCTCAGTTTGTGTAGGAATGAAACAAACCCAGTTCAATGCAAGGAGAATCTACTGCCATTTAGCTACAGTTCCATACCAGTCAATAATAAATCTACATATTATATACTTTTACAAATTCTCTTTATATTATCACAGATTTCACACTTTTCAGAGTTTTCCTCCAGAAGCTGGAGTCTTGCAGTTATCCAAAAATATCCTTTCCTTTATGAACTGGATGGCAAATTGCTTCCTCAGTACTTGGAGGTAGCAACACTAAAACAATGCTGTCTAATAAGACCTGAGCTAGTTACTTTGTTAAATTATATTTTTGCAATTTTTATTAAGGAAGAACCTTCAACTGTGCATGTGTCTGGCTTGAGTAAAATATACACAATTATTCTTGTCTCCTGCATCCTTCATTCTTTTATGTTCTCAGAGGTATTTAAGATACACATCCCAAGTCTTCTATAAAGCCTACTGAAGCTTTACAGTTGCAGCTACCTCAATTATGATCTTCATGTGCTATGCAACCTTCACGTATGTATCAGCCTCAGTGCTGCATATTCACCCAAATCATAGAAAGCAGGAGATTTGGGACTCCTGTTCATTCTGCTGGCAATCATGGGATTACATGCAGTTTACTCAGCAGGGTTATCGGCAGCCTTTCTGCTTACTTCTGCTGACTTTCACAGCGTGGAACAACAGAAAGGCTCTGACAGTGGCAAACCTCTGCCCTGCAGGCCAGTACGCTCCTAGGTCTGATTTTCAAAGGAATATAAGAGTTTGGAGAACCAAATTCCAATATGCTTTTGATGACACATTGCTCAGTAAAACACATAAGTTTGAAATTTTTATTCATGGTGTAGATATAAAATATTGTATTCGCTCTTTTTCCATTTTCAATTTCATATTTTTTAGTGATTCCTAGGGGTTTTTCTGTCAGAATCAGATAAATTAATTGAAGACAGCTTCCTATTAGAATAATTAAATACAATGCAGCTATGTACTGCCACCACAAGGCCCAAATACTAGAATTTTTTGTGTTAATCTTTGAAAAAAATGTTAAAATATCTTAGTGTGGGGTGGGGTTTTTTTAATCAAATACTACATAATTGAATTAATAAGGCTATAGAAATTGATTGCAGAACACTGGGAAGTTACATCACTTCTATACTTGTTCTTGTTGGAAGTAACACTTTTCTGTCAATAGAAAGGGAAGGAAGAAACTTCCTCAAGACCAGCAGGAAAGAATCTGGCTTTAAAACACAACCCTTTAAAGTTTTCTCATGTATTTTAACACTCTTCCCGGATAACTTCAGTTTTCCTTTATTTCAAATTGCTCCTTGAACAGAGTTTTCAAACAAAATAAGGAGAGTTATCTAAAATAGTTCTAGTCTATTTGGAAGTCATGTAAAAATAAAAAGTACAAACTTCCAATAATTTAAGAATGATTCCTTCAGAAGTGTGTTTATTGGTCCATATTAATCCTTGGTGCAACTCGAGGGATAGATGAGTTAGTTCCCTTGTGTAGATTTTAAATCATCATGACTTTGCAGCCAACAGCATTTTTTAACTTTCTCATAAATAATTTTCATTGCTTTGAGTATTCCAATACACTGACTCGCTTGTAAGGAAGGTTTAACATGTTGTCCAAAGGGATAGTAACAAAAATAATAAAAGCCTAGGCTGCATGTGCACTCCTCGTCAACTAGCACCCTGATTGATAGAACAACACCACTGAAGAGTCCCAGTAAGAAAACAGAAAACAGTTGCAGTTGTAAATTACAGCACAAAAATACATGCTGACCGACCTGTTCAGCTAGGCTTTATGGTTCCTATGGAACAAAACGTCTGTAAAACATAACCCTTACAAGATACTAATTTATTGCACTGGTAACACTTCTCGAACCTTCACCCTCGTGAAACATCTGCCTGACAGGACTGCAGCAAATAATCAGCCCTGACGTCTTCCAAGTTCTTTGCCTTGAGGTGGCTGACAAGTGCAAAGGAGAGGTCATAGGATGTGCAACTCCAAGCTACTGGTACAAGCATAGTTTGTGTTATTAGCAACTACAGCTGAAGTTTGAAAGCTGTTATTTATGAAAGGATAAAATGTAAAGTAGGACAAGCTGCAGGACATAGTGTATAAGCCAGAATTTGTCTGATTAGGTTCAGGGCATACTTTTGCTGATTTTTTAAATCTCTTGTTGCTGGCAGAGCTACATTTACTTTAGCAATAGCTCACAGTGGGCACCAGTTGTTGACATCACCACATAACCTAGTCTCACATTAAAAGTCAAAGCGGATGTGCAGTGCAGAGCCTAAATAGAATTTCAGTTTAGATTTTGTTTAAGAGTTGTTCGCATGCTAAAAATCAGCAATGCAATTTATATATTTTCTAATATTTCTAAAAGAGATGTAAAATACTAAAGTGGGGAAGAGACTAACCTATATATTCATACATTAAAGCAGATCCTTGAATATGGGAATAACAGATACAGTGAAAGCCTGTTGTGGATAAGTATTTCCAGTTACAGGTGTAACTGTCATTTGAAAAATAAACTATTTCAGTGTCCAAGGCTGGCTGAATTGAATTCACACTTCTTAAATTTGTCAACAATTTCTTAAAATATAGATGATGATGATGGAAAACCACAGCATAAAACTTCTACACAAAGCAGTTTAGACAAACATGGAGAAACAGTCTTTCAAATATGGTAGGTGGCTCACAATAAATGCTGACATTTTCTATAGGTCATTCCAAAGGATGCCACCTCTAAGCACAGTGTTTTCGGAGACAGCCATTACACTACTGAACATTCTGCCTAGGGTGAGTATTTTTCAAAATGGATGAGAATGAGGTAGGTCAGACAGCCTGCCAGCAGGAGAATATATAGTTTGCTCATAAATTCAGGAAGATGAAATATTTGAATAGAGCCACAGGACATGACTGTAAATTTTTAGGAGAACTTACCTCAGGATAACAAATACATATTTTTGTATTCTGTATAAAAATTCTTGGAATGGCAGTATAAAGGGTTTTGTATCACAATTTGTACAAAAGGATCAAGTGTTGAAAAATAATAAATTTATTATAAAATAAAAACATTAAGACTTAGATTAAGACCAAGGTGTGCTTGTTATCATCACTGAAGTACAGAAGACAATTCATCAATTAATTTGCTTTTACTTTTGTAAGCGACCACCTCTAGAAAAAAGTATATTCTGTCTTTAACATCTCCTTGCAGAAAAATGCTTAAAATAGCACTATGAATCTACAAGAAAGCCCCACTCTGAAGTGCAAAAAAACCTATGTGCAACTGGGCCATTGTGGGCCTCATGCTATAAACTTGTTAACCATGAATTTTGCTGCTGCTATTTTGCCTCTAGCTGCTTGTGTAAAATAAGATTATAAATTTGACAACTAATGAAGAGAGTCTAGCAGAATAAAAGGCTAGCAAAGAAGATAAGTAAAGCAGGTTTCAAAAAACCTGTCAAGGCCGGCTGCATGCAAAATTAATGGCTTATTTTAGCCACATGGTCCTATCCTGACATATCTTGGATTCCTATGCCTCTCAGACTCAAGTGAAAAGGGAAATTATTTTAAACCTCTGTGACAAGCTCTCCAGAAATTAGCTAAATTTCAAAAGCTTAACATCTCTGACCCTGAATCAATATCAGCAAATGCTGCTTCAGTTGAACAACTCCCTTTTGTGGTATCTCATTTTATTAATGTTAGGTATCTTATGTCTTCCTTGATATAATGTAGAAAAGACTTCTGGACATGTGCAGTAAGTAATCTTTAAAGGTATAAAAATGAATAGAGATGTAATGACAAAGTATGATGTTTTTCCTTTTGTGCTC